TGTTGGGATCTCTCATCTTCAGAGTTTACGTTTCTATCTTCGAGTGAACTTCTCTCTAAACCCTAGTGTTACAACGATGCAAGTGTACAAGCTTTGATATTTCTTGTCCATGCTCCCACTCTACGCTCGCATTGAGGATGATTCAATTTGAGCAATGGAATCGGATCCACGACCGACCCATTCTTGATGATTGAAGGTGTAATGAATGAAGCTTGGAAAACTACAACCATATAGTTACATGAAGAGTAGGTAATAGATGTTGTATGTAATCAGGTTTTTGATGAATTAATTATGATGAATTCATGACTCATATATGTGTATCTCTTTCTTTATGATTCATAATTCATGTCTTCGTTGTTCTTGTTTAAAAATCTACTCCCTATGTTCGTGATTTCATGCACCTAATTCCGAGCAACTCTCCTCCAATCCAGACTCCAAAAGTCCGAGTTTGCAATCTTGGAAGAAAAAATCAATAAATATCTCTAATTCGTCCATCTTCTGCTTGTTCCCATTCGCTGTTCATACTCCTACATGTCTCAAATTGCATGTCAATCTCTTCAAAAATTCCAACAATTATCAAAAAAAATTCATACCATGTGTCGCACTTACAACTAACCGTTTTGAGCGCACCGAGATTAGCTTGATGATCATCTGGAGATGATATGCGAGATAAAGTGTATTAAAATATTTTATTTATTGTATGAAAGAACAAAGCACCGCACACATAACTCGAGCTGGTAACACATATCACCCATGTTTTTTGGTAGGAGGAAAATACCCAAAAGAAACACAATCGTTTCTCTTGTAAAATTGTGTTGTGTATGTTTTTGACCACCCCGGTATAGCTTTTGTATGATCTACAAAATGATATCAAATTCTGTAAGATATGCTTCATCGCGCAATTCAGAGCATTCTTTGTTAACTTATGCTCTGAGCATAACATCAGAACATCCACGTATTGCTCAGACTTGTCTTGCTGGACATGGATTTGATGTCAATCAAGAAAAAGTAGAAGATATTGACCAGAATAGTTCACAGTTGTCGCATTCAAGCTCATTGGAAACATAGAAAAAAAACATGATTTTAAACCAACAAGTTATGAATGGATACTTTCGATAATTATAATAGGCATTAAAGTGTCACACTGTCACTATTGAATTGTCTCATGTCACTATTGCCAATAGTGACGTACGGTTCTTATTGACATATTTACACGTTAGAATATTATGTATCCACACTTTCATGTCATTAATGTGATGATGTCACTTGTAGAAGGTAACATTGTTGGGAAGTTTAACTTTGTATTGGATATTATTCAAACCTACCATAGTTTATACTAGTAAGAATAAGTTAAAAGTTAATTATCATATATTACTATAATAATTTCTTTAATAATATAAATAAAAAGATAGAAATAAGATTCTCAAGCAAGTTCAAAAAGTTCATTATGTGAGTACTTGTTTCATTAATATGGCTTTAAGTTTCACTATCCTTGTGAATATCAATGAGTGTTTGCAATTGAGTGAAGAGTTTGTGTGAGAGCGTGTTTGAAATACTATTATATTGAAAAATTCTAGTTTTTAAAACCATGATAAACTACCCAAAAAAAATCTGAGTTTAACCTAAGTGAGAATCACAATACTTGTTACTACTAATCAATATGTACTCCGTGACAAACTTTGCAAGCTGTTGAACAACTTGGATTCAAGAATACTGTCCTCTATTGTAAGATCGGTTGTTGTATGTGTTAAAATAATAGTAGTATTAAACAAAAAGTTGATCATGATTAAGTCTAGTTAGCTTTGACTAAATTTAGTTATAATATCTATATTTTATTGAATGATTGATATATTTCTAAAAGATTATTCAGTATTGTTATTTTCTATTGTATCAAAGTTCAAATTTTGAGGAAAAAAATAATTTGACTACATGTTAGTTTTGATTGATTTGATCAAATAATAAAAATTTCATTGCTTGAATTAAATCTTAAGTTGACTTAGTAACAAATAAAATTTATGAAATTTTGAAAATCTCAAATAATCTGAGTTCAATTCAACCTAAAAACAAACAAAGAAAAATCAAAAAGGTGTAAATAGATCAATGATATGTTATCATGTAATGTTAACTAGTAAAACCTATCAAACTTTATACAAAAAAACATAATAAATAAGATGATAATAATCATATGTTACTATGATATTTTCTTGATTACTATAAATAGAGATGTGGAGAAAAAAATCTCAAGCAAGTTTAAAATTCATTGTATAAAAACTTGTTTCATTAAGAAACGCTTGAATTATACTATCATCTTGCAATATTGCTGAATGTTTGAAATTGATTAATGAGTGAAAAGATTATGTAAAAATATGTTTGGAACACTCTAATGTTGAGTATTCATTTTGTTTTAGAACTATGATGAGTTATCAAAAAGACATCGAACGTAATAGCCAAACTAGATATAAAAAACACAGACTGTTAGGTTGTAAGCATACGTTCAAAATGGCTTAAGGTTGTAGTCTATCAAGCACGCAAATTGCTAAACATGTAGCTCTTAATTGGTACATTGACTATCACATTCAATCTTTATTTAACAAACACAAATCATTGTCAACTACTATTGCTCTCTACTGATCAAATTCACAAAATTGCTGACGTGAGGATTATGAATAATCCACTAAATGAAATTATCTCTCTATCTTGAGTAATCACTATTATAGTTTCAATAAATTTAATTATGATTCCAGATCTTTTTACTTTTAAGACGTAGAATACTCATTGCACATGATCTGAAATTCTTGAACTATCACAAATGCAATATTTAGATTTCTAGTTTGTTGTCAAGTTGATTTTATATTATATTTCATTGAATCAATTCTAATTTGAAATATTATGGAGTAAAATCCATTTCTTCAAAAAAAATTGTATCTTGAAATTCTTCATGATCCGCTATCAAAGTTGAAAAATAGATGATGTTAATTAATGTATAAATTCTTTAAATCATGATGCATATTTTTGTGACACATGAAATACATTATGCATTTTCATATGTAACACATGTTCTACCTTGTATAGCATTATACCTACACTTATCAATATCACAAATGTTTCAAAAAATATAGGTTAAACTTTGATGTTGTTGCAAGAGATAAACTTCTTATAGATAATCATAGTTGATGTCAAACATAAATCAACTCTCTATGATGAATACCTGCATGTTATTTTTGTATTTGAACAATCATCAACTTCTCTTTGTGTTGATAAAAGATTTCTGTAAATATGCTACACAAAAATCTTTGATTGTGGCTACTTTGTTCAAAAACTTCTCTCTTTTTATAAAACTCATCAAACTTGATAGAGTATTGAAATAAACCCAAAGATTACTCTCCTTATATAAACATCATCCAACTTAATGAATTTATGAAATAAATTCCATACATTATGTAAAATAAAGACAACTTTGTGTATACATTGATAGAATTGTTATATGTTACAAATTCTACAAAACTCAAAATAATATCACATTCTTGTTGCTCTTCTAATGAGGATGACCTTAAAATATGTTCTACAATTTTATTTAGTCTTCTAGTTTGAATGTGAAAGGTTGTTGACATGCTAATTTTGTTCTAGAAAACTAAACAAACTTTTTCAAAACAATCTAGTGACTTTGCTCAATTTATGATTCATACAAACTTCATCCAGATAAAAAGTTGTGGAGCTTTCACCTTTCTTGGTCACTCTTTCCATCTTGTGATTTTATATCATTGATGCAACAAATTTTGTACAAACTTCAACCAACGAACTTGTTATCTGTGACATTCGTTCTTACAAACAGAGAGTAACTAGGGTTTAGTAACTCTCTGCGAGAAGAGTTGAAAGTCACAAGTAGGACGGGATCCGGGAGCTAGCAAAATATTGAGAATTCAAATAGTGCACAAAATGTGTTCTTTGTTGACCTCGGGACTAGTACCAAGGCTTCCTTCATGCATTCGGTCCATTGACTGCGAGTTGTTATGAGACTATCCAACTCGATTATGAGATGTAAGAAGGTGCCCTAGATGTTTGGGAAACCAAACCTTATTTCTATTCCTCGACTGCGCAAAAAATCAACTGAACTGTGAGTACAGTACATCTCGTTGTACGGAAATGAGGAGCTGAGATGTCAGACGGTTTGTGTTTTCCGGTACATGAGTAGCATAATGTAGCATGTAAGGGGAAATGACAACTTCGCGGAGCTTGTTGATTTCCCCATACACTCTGCATTCCTTGGACGGTCGTCAGCTGTAGCAGTGTTATGATTTTGTTTGAAATAGGCTTGTACATTCGCAAATTCAAATTCTACACTTATGCTTTGCATTTAGTCGTGAGCTGATTAAATCCCTCTTTGAGGCAGGCAATGAAATAGAAATTGTTGAATCTGATCCTTTCGACTTTAAGAGTTCGCTGTTGCTTTGCGATCGAAGTTGTCGATCAGTGTAAGTTCTTGGATTTTCGCAATTCCTCAGCGTTTAGGAGTGCCTGGATTTGTTTGTCCAAATTTGAAGACGTGTGCGTTAACTTACCAGATAACAATGGATCGCACGCAGGTTGAACAACTCTTGCAATTTGGCCGCATGCCGTCTACAAGGACAGTTTCAGGGGCAGTGTATACATCAGAGGACGTAGTGGTATATCCGAGGTGATGAGTAATGAATCGGGTTTTCTTCTTTCTAAAATCTCTTCACACCAATGGGTCCTTTTTGCAACTAGAGTCGACACGTGCTGGGATCCGGGGCTGGCGTAAGATACGGAACTCAAAAAGTGCACAAAATGTGGTCTTTGTTGACCTCGGGCGACCGTAGGCAATTGACCCAACACTTCCTTCATGCATTCGGGTCATTACCTGCAAGTCGTTATCTAACTCAATTATGAGATAAAAGAAGGTGCCTTAGATGTTTGGGAACCAAACTTTATTTCTATTCCTCGACTGAGAAGAAAATAAAGTGAACTGTGAGTAGATCTCGTCTATTCGTTCCTGTCAGCCGTTCAAAAAGTGCCAAATATCTCGTCTTTGTTGACCTCGGGCGACCGTAGGCAAGCATTCGGTCCATTGGCTGCGAGTCGTTATGAGACTATCCAACTCGATTATGACATAGAAGAAGGTGCCTTGGGTGTTTGGGAAACCAAACTGAAAACGCAGAGAATATAGTCAACTGTGAGTAGATCTCGTCTACTCGTTCGTGTCAACGTACAATTTCTCTCAGCTCTTGGATCCATCTTCGAGGCCGCCCATCTCCATCGAGATTGCTTCAGAATGTCAAGTGTTTCGCAGAAAGAGGATGCTTCTTGGGCAGATCCTTCGCTTCTCGTTGGTCTGCCCATGGCCGTCAGAGCTGCTCTCATGCTCAACGTACCGAAGATCATAGATTCAGCGCACCCGAAGCTCTCATTGTCAGCGGAAGAGATTTGCAAGCATGTGCCCACTACTCGAGAGCAAATTCCAAAAGCTGAGAATCTTGAGAAAATCCTTGACTGGCTTTGCTGCAATGGAATTTTCTCTTTGATCATCGAGGAAGGAGACGATGGCTCGAAAGTGAAAAGATACGCGCACAGTCCCAAATCTCGATGTCTTTCCCGGGATCACACCGCCGACATGTTGCTCATGTACACTTCTCCAGAGCTGACCAGAGTGTGGCCTCACGCACATGAGATCGTGCTCAGTCCTGACGTTTCTCCCTTCGAGCTCGTAACAGGAAAGAACATTTACACATACTTCGCAGTGGATGCTCCACAAGTTCAAGAATTGTACGTGAGAGGCCTGAATGGAACAGCTGGTCCGTCGCTGAGTCTACTCGAGATGTACGACGAGACTTTCAAGGCTTTGAAGGGTCGAGTGGTGGATGTAGGAGGCCAGGAAGGAACAATATGTGCAGGGCTCGTGGCCAAATACCCCCACCTGCAATTCGTCAATTTCGATCTGCTGGAAGTGGTCAGAGGAGCTCCACAAATCCCCGGAGTAGAGCATGTCGGCGGCAGTTTCAAAGAAAGCGTGCCGGACGGCAACCTGTTGATCATGAAATTCTGCCTGCTGAATTGGGACGACGAGACCTGCATCGGAATTCTTACGAATTGCCGGAAAGCCCTGCCAGTGGCCGAGGGCGGGAAGATGCTTATTCTGGAGAGACTGGACAGATCTACAGAGGCAACGGATGCTCACAACGAGGTCGCCAGGACCGGATCACTGTGGTCCAATTTTCAGAGCACCGTAATGTTGAGTGGAGCCAGGACGAGAACAGTGGAGCAGTTGAGGAGCCTGGCATTGGCAGCAGGCTTTTCGCAGCTAGAATTCGTGAACCATTGTCCCGGCTTTGATCTCCTGGAAGCAAGCCTCTCGCCTTCTGGACACTCGCAATAGTTGTTCTTCGGATCGGCTCGTCGACCCTGACTCCTCTTGTTCGCTCCATGAGTCAGTAGTACAGTATAAACTCGGTTAAGTCCGCACTTTGATCTGAGAAGGTTTGTGCGGACTTATCTGGGATGCGGACTTTAGTTATATCTCATCTTGTGACTTCAAACTCTCCGCGGTATTTCTAAGTTAACTATTGTCAAAAGGTATCAATAACGAGAAAAGACTCGGACAACATTCCATTGATTTTCCAGACGTAGTCATACTTCGTACCACCCTTCACTTCATCTCAAAAAACTATTAACCCTGTGGTTAGAGGTAAACATTGACATTACTAATAGTCCTTGTATTGCAATTGTTAAGGAAAAGGATCGTTAATATCTGACTCAATTCTTTTTACAATTAGTTTGTGCTGTTCTTTCTCAACACCGTCTACAACGAACTCATGTCGATATAGTTATTAACCGAGACAATATATTTAAGATATTGGTAAGTCTGTAGAGATTGGTATGAGTGAAGCCTTATCAAGAATGAAACTGGGCTCGAGTCGCATGGGATACGAATAGGAAGTAGAATGAATACCAGTAGACTTAGATACAAGCCATTATTAAAAGATCCAACCTTAGGGCCAAAAAGGAGAGAGAGCTAATCTCTAGTGAGATACCACCATGTTGCCTCATACATGCAAACATTCGTTTCAAGTTATAACAATTTTTTAGCATCACCGTCATTGATCAAAAGTTTGACTTTTGCTGATAATAAAACTCTAGAAATTTGATCCTTGAAATTTCGTCTGAAAAATGCGGACTTAGGCGGGATGCGGATTTATATGGGTGCGGACTTAAGTGAGTGTATACTGTACTTGACTGCAGCAACAGTCGAAGAAATCATCGGAGCTATGAAAATGTTTGTGGACATTTTATGATTGTAATCTTGGTTGTAGATGTACGTTTTGTGACTTCGTATAAGTTAAACCGATTGATGGAGTTTCATGTGCAATCATTGTTTTGCCTTTTCGTAGATATGGTTTTTTTTTCGGTTCGTGGAGCAACGTCCTAATTTGTTTTTGATTTCTTGCAATATTAACTCCTCATGTGAGTAAAAATTGTATTGATCATAATCTTCACTACTAAACTAAAACTAAAAAGACTTACAAGTAGTATCAAAATCAGAGAAATTTCAAAATCAAAATCAAGCAATCAGCTTTTTGATTGATTGATGGTACCCAATACTTTCTATTTTAACCTATGTACCCTTGCGACCGCACTTCTATCCACCGTCTATTGCTAGTTCTTGTAATTGCTTTCAATCTGGGTTAGGAAAAGCACTGAGTCTAATGGTTGAAAAGTGACTTTTCCCTCTGTGCACTTCACGGACCAAAATACCCAACTTCCGTGACTTCGGCCAAGAGTTTTAGAAAGATTAAGTAGATTATCTCCATACATTATAACTGTAAAATCATTGGACGTGAGAAATTGGGGTCTGATTGGGAGCATGGTAAATATGACTAACTTAAATTAGGGAAGAATTTATTTTTTTCATTGAAGTGGAAACAAAACAATTACAAGAACATAACTTACGATGAACCGTCATAGGGTTCCATAGGGTAAATTGGGAGATATTTGCTTGATGGGACCCATCAAGTTTCAATTTACCCGATGGTAGCCCACCCATTGATACACATCACGTCAAATCGACTCCTTGAGAACTCACCGTTGTTTCAAGGATGAATTTTTCCGCAACAATTCATGTGCGCAGAAATCTTCATTGTGGCAGTTTAGTGTTGTACTGGGGATCTGCTGGAGCAGAACTTTAATGGTTTGATGAAAAAACTCATGATTACTTCAGGTGGAAGGTGTCCTGCTAGTGGCATTGCATTGTCTCTCAAATCACTGTTTCTCGATCCAAAAGGAATTTGTCCTATTCAGTGTGCTTGTGCAGGTTGTTTTTGGAACGCGAGTGCAAGCCTTAATGTCCAAAAGCTTCGAAAAATTCAATTGGATCATGAAATCTTGCAGGAGAGCATATTTAGTTTTGTTAAAACTCCAATGTCACATCGTTGAAGCTATCGCAGAAACATCAATTAGAACATATTTGTACAAGAACACATATTAAAATTCATTTATACAAGAACATATCCATACTAGACTAAGTATTAGAAATCATCAACGATGTGCCGTCGGTGGTGTACCATCGGCTAAATTGAAACTTGATGGGTCTCATCAAGCAAGTTACGTTCTGATGGGATCCCATCAAGCAAATCTCTTGGTAAAATGGAAAGCATTGGGTCCCATCAAGCAGTCAGCGTTTTGAGTTCTGATGAGATAACTTTAAGCAAATTTCTCATCAAAATCATCACTTCAAGTGATTCATTTTAGAGTGAGAGTTGAGGTTTGAATCATGTTTATAAACTTTTAATTGAGTGAAGGTTTGAATCATATTATGATCATATTCATATATAGTTTACATATCTAGATTATTTTTCAAACATTATTTTATTTTAATTAAAATTTATCGAACTGTTTTTATAAATTAGTAAGTATATAATTTATCCAAAAAATCTATATTTCATGTTTGTTGAATCTATGACACATGATTTAATGTTTGATTAGCATGAACTTTAACTAAAAGTTACATGATGAGTTATTGCATGCTTAAGATATATGATAATTTGCAATGTAGAATTGGATATGTACAGCTTTAATGTGCTTCAAAACATCTACTATTTTTTTGAATATGCTTAAATGATATCAATAATAGGGCACTTACATATTTTTAAACAATAAAGTTTACAATTATGATAGTACACTTATCAAAACATGAAACTTTTCTTTAAAAGAAAAATATTTTTTAAAAAATATTTTTAAAATATCTCAAAGTTCAACAAATGTGTGATTTTGCACATTATTGACTCCTTTATTACATTTATATATGATATTTTTGAAAATATAATTACAATGTGCATGTAAGTCATGACAACAAGAAGTCATATACCACAATTATATCTATGAGATATTTAAAATCACAAAATTTTCTACAACTTGATCATAAAAATATTTATTAGATATTTTGATTTTATTGAATATTTTTTCAAAAGCTAATAGTGATAAAATGTTATACTTGCATCAAAGTTATAAAAAAAGATTTTCATTTTCATTGATAATCAGAATCTTTTGAAAACAAAAAATATCTTTAGCTTCAATTATAGTGATTTTAAAATCTGCTACAATTTTCCAAATATTATGTTCAATTTTAAACTCAAAATTATTTAACTCATATCCTAGACATCCAAATTACATTGATGGCATGGCATTAGATTACAAATTACATTGTTGACAAAAATTAATACAAACATATATGATGATGAAAATTTAAGTTCAAGACATCTTGCCCATCAACATCATAAATTGATTTACAATTTAAATTGCACAATATAATTTACAAAAATAAATTCAAATAGCGTGTATGCAAAATAATAAACTTTGAGATTATAAATAAGCATAGTTTTATACAAGATAGCTTTGTTGTAGATGAATATTATCATTAACAAGACAAGGTTGATAATTTCTTGAAATGACCCTATGTTATAATTGCAAACAAATTTGAGAGCATTCAACATGCAAGATCAAATATGTATGTTGATTTTTCAGATGCACATGAATTTTAAAGTGGTGATGAATTGTATCTTTGTTGTCTAAGATACAATTATTGAACATAGTATAAGTTCAAATATCTCCGACAAGTTATTATCTTTGGAACTTTTTGTATGTGATTAAGCTTGTATTTGATAAATCACTAGATTTAATTCTAAAGTACAAGCTCATATATCAACTCAAAGTCAAAATTTGAATGTTGATACTCAATTATGAAAGAAACAAACTACAATGATTCAAAAGTTTCAAAGTCTACATGAAAATAATCTACTTACTTATTCAATACTAACATGAGAAACAAATACATCAATGTGCGAGTCACATGCAAGATAGACTTACTATATGGATTTAGAATCAATGGTTGAATTAAGAACTAAGATATGAATATTTTGATGAAACTAATACTTGTTGTGTTAAAGTTATCTTAACATATCATTTTACATTTATTATGATGTAATTATTTTTATTTATTTTAAACTAAAAATGACATATTTATTTTCAAAAGAAAATAAAATCTCTACTTAAATTTAACATTTTGGAGGAGTAAATATTAAATATCACTTAGTGAGAGATTTCAAACTAGCGCAATGACGCTGCAATAAGCGCCCACTCGACCCGTTACGCTTCCCCGCTGCCTGGCCGTGCGAGAATGGCAAGAACCATCATGTGAATCAAACTAATTCATATTCATAATTTTATTTTATGAATGGTTTTATTTTAATCTATAAATCATCGCAGTACTTTTAACTTCAAGTAGAATTCAACTCAACATTTGATTAGGTTTTAGAATAAAATCTCTTACAAAATGTTAGTTTAATTCTATTTTATATCAATTGCCCAAATCGATAACCATGGTGAGTGCAATTAATTGTGATTAGGTTAACTAGGATGTGCACCTTTTCTTAAACCTTAGAATCAATGATTGAATCCTTAACTAAGATATGAATATTTTGATGAAACTAATACTTGTTGTGTTAAAGTTATCTTAACATATCATTTTACATTTATTATGGTGTAATTAGTTTTATTATTTCAAACTAAAAATAGCATATTTATTTGCAAAAGGAAAATAAAAGCTCTACTAAAAACCTTCAACATTTTGGAGGAGTAAATATTAAATATTACTTAGTGAAAGATTTCAAACTAGCCAGCGCAATGAGCGCCCACTCGGCCCCTTGCGCTGGCTCGTGCGCTTCCCCGCTGCCTGGCCGTGCGAGAATTGCAAGAGGCAGAGCGTTCAAATCGTCGACGCTTCCCAAATATCCCGTCGTTTCAGAATAATATGCTTATGCAAGAGAGAAAATACATCAACCAAAATATCATTTTGGTTTGCTCAACAATTAAATCTAAACTCTTATGAAAACTAAGTTAGTTACAAAGGATTTCTTCCGGACATTTCAGTCTCATTACAAAGAAGTGCTTAATGAGAAATAGATTTGAGACCACGGAAACATGGTAGAAGACAAGAAAAATTAAATGAAAGAAATCACGAAAAGAAGGTTGACGTGGAACTCAAGAACATCACAGTCGGAACGCGAGGAGATCGGGCTTGGCACTGGACGCACGCAAGGAAAGAATTGTGTGTCCGCAAGAAGTGTGAAAGCAATGGACGTGGACTTTCATCATAACAATGCTGTTCACCAGGTGACCGGAAGCGGACGGTCATCCCGTCACGGCTCTGCAGCGACTTGGATGAGTTGGAGTGTGACGGGAGCGGATACGCGCGCGGGTGCACGGAGATGGCCGCCTCCGAACGTTGTGATCCACGAGGACCCAGAACGAACGTTCGGAGACGTGGACAGGTCTCGTGTGAAGGCTGTAAGACGGCACTGACTGAAACGAGGGCGGAGAGAGAAGGAGATCCAGGAGTGAATGTCCGCAGAGCAGGACTCTGCCCAATTGCTGGGCCGGTTATAAAAATAATCACCAGAGCCGACCTTCAGATGGAAGTGATCGAATTCAGCTACGACCAAAATAATCAACAATTAATCAACAATTGAAAGAACGATCAGCAAAGTGACTTGGTTGCTGCGGATCGCGTTTGCAGGTCGCTGTTCGTCTGCAGGCGAGTCCTGCTGCAGCGAAGTCGACGGGAGGGGAGGGGAGAGTGGTGGAAGCAGCTCGGCCACAAATAGTCCTCGCGCCGAGGTTTGGAGGTGCAGTTGAGCGGGACAGAGAGGTAGGTGTGGATTGATTCGAGTTTAGTGCTGGTACGCCAGGCCAGGCCAGGGCCCCCACCCCGGCCTCATGAGCCTGCCGAGCGCAGGTCATCATCTGCTTCACGTTTTCGGCTGATAGAACATGTCGGGACAGTGAGTTCTCTGGAATCCACATTTCTCAAAGAACTTGTCAATGACCTCGAAGAATGAGCATATTCTCCTTGAGGAAGGAGCAAAATCGATATGTCGAGAGCTTCTGAACCCCCGAGAGAGCATGTGAGGATGGACGCCTGCGAGAGAACAAGGTTGCTCGCGGTCTGAACCAAATGGAATGATCCTCAAATAATATTTTTTTACGAATATCCTTCAGTAGTTGAAAGCGGTGGTTTTCCCCGCCATCATTGATCATAAAGTTTGATTTTGTGAATCCATCGATCTTATTCGAAAGTAATGCAAAGAAGATAAATGTATAGAATGTGCATACACATTTTGTATGGAACACTCATTCTTCATGATTTTCTTCTCACTCAAATCTTAGTATAACACATTGTATAATAATGATGCCATTATGGATATATAAAATAAAATAAATGTGTGTTGCAAAAAACCCAAAAGAAAGCACAACCAAATTTGTATGTGTATATGATTGTATTACATGTTAACACTTTTTGGAGATGAGAAAATTTTACAATAAAACTTTTAAGATAGAATTTCAAGAGCAAAAAGTTTCATGTCTATGTAAAATTAATTAGCTAATAATTCATTAGACCTTATAATTACATGTACATATAGATGTGTTCCAAGTATTATGTTATGCATGATTTATCTTAAAACATGCGATAAATTACAACTGATTAATCAGAAAAGACGGGAATAAAATGTTAATATGACTAGCTAAAGACAACAAGGTGAACAATGAAAGTGATCATGACTCAATATCCTAGGTAGTTGTATTTTAGACGGCTAAGAAGTATCATGAGGTTGATCTCTTATTGAAGTCTATGTATTTTAATTATGTGTATGGTTCATGCAATGGAAGCTAATTGTACGAACATTATCTTGTAAATATTGACCAACTCATTAGAGTCAACAAGCCACTTGGTATGACCTAGTAAACACTCTTGGTATAACTTATGAACCACCCTTGATAGAACCTAGAAACCAGGAACTTGTAAATATTGACCAACTCATTAGAGTCAACAAGCCACTTGGTATGACTTAGTAAACACCCTTGGTATAACTTAGAAACCATGAACAAGCCACTTGGTATAACTTATGAACCACCCTTGATAGAACTTAGAAACCAGGAACGTCTTTCAGTCTTGGCTTTCGAAGTACATGAAGATATATACTTGCTCATGATCTATTGTAACTCGACCACGATTCTTCTTGTGATGTTAAGAGACTAACGCCGCTGCCACATGACCAGCAGCCGGCACTACCCTCATGGCTAGAAGATAACCTGGTTTTCGTAGACCTCAGTCCGCCAGTTGGAGATAATCCCTTAACCTCTACCACACGACCGGCACGGCTTCAGAGTGAAAATGAACTGAAGTCATGAACCGGAGTTCCCTATGAATATATGGTGTCAGGAGAAATGTCTCGGTTGAATTGCAATACAGTGAGAAAAGTTCTTGGAATAGTAATGTGAAAAAACACGAAAAAACACGAAGAGTATGAAGTCCCAAAAATAACGGGTTTCCAACGAATGCCTGGTATTTCGCAGCAACCGATTTCTCTGCCATCTAGTATATCTTAAATTACCGCTCCCTACCTATAGCAGGATTCACTGACGCTGCCGGTTGTGTGGTTTTGTCTAATACACAGGCCTCTCTAAATACGACAAATACGGAATTTGATGGCCAAAGTGCTGTATTTTGTTTTCATAAAGTTCCGTCTTTTCAACAAAAAAGTATTTGTTGTCTAGGTGTTTTTAATAGAGAAACTAACAGAGACACTCAACTAAAACTTTAGGGTGACCGTTCTTGACCATATCTTTGTTGATCTAGGTGAGTTAACTAGAGAAACTAACGTAGATATTCATATAAATTTTTGCCGTGATCGTTTGTGTGACAATTTTTTTTGTTCATCTCGATGACTTGACTAGAGAAACTAACTGAATACTCGACTAAAACTTTGCAGGGACATCTGATGAATTCAACCAAGCGAGTTCTAGTATTTTGTTTCTTTTTTTACCTCGGTAACTTGTAGTTTTGAAAACACTAAAAATTATTCAACTAGATCTAAAATATCAAGATAGTCTCAACTTGTATTTTTGTAAACACAAAAAATTATTCAACTAGATCTAAAATATCAAGATAGTCTCAAACTTTCTTGGAAACAAAAGAACATAGATAAAATAGTGAACCGATAGTCGAGAACATCGACTATCGTGCTAAAATGGGAGAAGTATATTCAGAGATCAAAGATAACACCCATTTCTCTTGAAGGTGTATTACATTGCCGATAAATTTGGCCTAAAACATGAGAGTTTAGGTGAAGATTAGATCGAAAACTGTCAAGTTCCGTGCATTACTTAAATTGATTTGAGAATTATCTTTATTTTGTTGAGATACAGAACATAAGGAATCCTCCCTATAAAGAGAGGCCTGCTAATACACTTCTTCTCATTCTGACATTGTTGTACGAGGCATAATTCTGGACTAACTGTGCATTGAGAGGTAGTACACAGCTATCAAAGGTTGAATTACTATCTATTGACTAGAATTAAATATCGTCAATAATGTATAGTTGATCAAAGTCGCTTTGTGTGGGTACGTGTACAAATCTCTTTCTACGTGATCAATCTGCTGGTAGTGGGAATGAAGTATCACGTTGTTCATATTTTATCAATTTGAAAAATAATCTGGACGATGGATGGACGAAATCTGAACGTACGGAATGCTTCTCACAAATAATATAGTAATTGAAAAATGTTCCCACCATAGTTGGTTCATTGATCAGACATGGCCTAAGGATATATAATATCAAACCCTGCATACCCTTTAAAGCAATCCCTGTGCTGAAAGGGTTTGAAGATTTAGGTTTAAAGAACTGAACTTGAAGTATATCATCAGCGCTCGGAAGCTATAAGATACCAAAATCGAAGGAAAGTCACACCACTTTACTTCTAGTGGGTTGCAGTTTATTATCATTCAGGACAGAAAAGCCCGAGGCGAACGAAAAGCTATAGAGACCAAGAAGACAAGAGATGTTGGAAGTTGCAGAAGAAACCCAAGAGGCCTAGTGACAACGATGTCCATATTTCCAAGAGGAAATCATGTGCACGTGCGATACACGAGGTCTCGACACGAGACCTCGTGTCGATCATTCTCAAGGGTCCAGACCTTCCTATCACGCCCGAGAAGAAGAAGAGTGAAGAGGTTGCGTCCCTTTGTGAGATGCAATTCAGATTTTTCATTCCGAAAACTTCCCCATCCTTCCCATTTGACTCGACCCAGAGCCGCATCATGTGATGACCGAGTGAGAAATCCCCATCACTGCAGAGCACCGCGGTTGGTGTAGAGTCAGTCGGGCGTATCCCGCATCGAGTGTGAAGTTAAAGAGCGGACTGTGAATTTACTCTTTGCGCAGAGATCAAATATGAATTCCAGGAGGCAGGAGATGGAAGAGCGGGAAATGAAGGATTTCAGAAACAGACGGGGGGTGGGAGCTGTTTTGTAAGGAGGGGACATTAGAGCAGGAACATTCACCGCAGGGCGTCTCAGGGAGGGAGTCCCGTACGTTCAGCGCTTGCTCGGCGACATGTCAGAGCAGAACATGAATGTTGAACGTCCATGCCTGAAACGGGTCAAGGATTCTCCTCGGATCGACTGACGGAAAATCCCGTACCTCCGTCCGTCCGAGCCGGTCCCCTTATCCGCAGAGAAAATGCGGCCGACCTAGCGAGCAGCTGCGGCAATACGCCCCCACCCTCCCTTCCCCGAGTGCCGAACAAATGAAAGCGCGGCTCGCAGCGCATGCCGCATACTTCAAACGGACGCAAGTAACACACCAGGCGCTCGGGAGTTTCCGGCCGGCGAAAGCAGTCCAATCCAGTCCCGTCCGTCCGTCCGCTAGAGTACGGCCTGACGGACCGGATGTGGAAATCCCGAAACGGGTTTCAAATCTCTCGATCAGAGCCTCGGATGTCGGTCGGTCTCGGCCGCGCAGTACATCCCCGCGCGGCGCCAGAACCCCCCGCCCCCCAGCCCCCCAGCCTGTGCACGGGCCGCGCGCTGACGACCAGTCCCCGCCCGCCACGCCAGCCCTCCAGCCTCCAGGTCAGCCCCCGCTCCCCTCCCCGTGCAGTTCCCCCCTTTTGTTTCTAAAAAAGTGCCGCTGCTGCCTCTCCCCCCCTCCCTCTTCGTGTGACGGCCAGCAGCGATCGTACCGCCAACCCCTGACCCTGTTTTCCCGTGCCCTCGCTCGCTCGCCTCCCCTCCGCTCCCTTGCGCTCCCTGCTCTGAGCGCTGCTCGTGCGTGCCTTCATGAGCAGGCCTCGACCTTCGCAGCTCTCTTTCTCTGCTCTGCTCACTGTCGTGTGTTCAATCCGCAGGGGAGAAGGGAATGGAAGGGAAGGGAGCGAGGGGAGTGGAGTGGAGGTAGGCAGGGACGAGGGGAGTTGGGGCGACGGGGCAGGGCTTCGGATGGGTGAGATGGGTGATCGAGTTTAGGATGGATTTGCGGTGGTGGCCTGGCGAAGGCGGAGTCTTCATCGGATGTGTGGCGGGGTCGCGGGCGGATTGGGTTGTGAATTCCTGAGGTTTTGGTGCTGAGATTGTGGTTCGAGGCTGCGCGGGTCGGCGTTGGGCTCGGGCGCCATTTGCGCTGCTGTGGTAGGGCGGGAGGGCGGGCGGGAGGTGTTTCCGTTGCAGGAAGTTCGTCCATCTCGGGGTCCGAGGGTTGCGTGCCGGAGTGTTCCCGATTTGGGCCGTCAGGGCTTCCACCGACGGGAGTTAAGCTGTTTCGCGCGACTATGGGCTTTAGTTCTTGGGTCGGAGTTACCTCGCAGCCCTCTGCGGCGGTTTGCGAGTCTTTCGTAACGCTGATATCGTAGCGCATCTTCGCTCCGTTCAAGGATCCGATTAGGTCTTCTTCTGTACGGGGATAATGAGTGGCTGAATTTTGGTCAGGTTCGTGAGCTCTTCCTCACTCGTCTTGCGGATGCTTTTGCTTGGAACTGCATTGACGTTAGTGCTGAATTCCTGGCCTTGTCTCATCTGACAGTGTAGGAGTATATTATTTGGGGACTGGTGAAAATCGCCCCCTCCACCCTTTGCTAGTGACGGACATTCTATCGTCTTGGTATTGAGGCCATCTGTTTTCCATGGTCAGGCGTTGTTCGTGCCCTGATATCGTCTGAGAGGAGCTTCCGCCGTCAAGTCGGACAATGTGTGTCGACAGTGCCGATTCCGGAGACGTTTTGGTCTTACGTCTTTCGGGCTTGCTTCTACCACTCCAGGAGTGATGAAGGACTGAGGTCTACATTGTGCAAGCACAATGCTCAATTTTGTCGAGAGGGAAGGTGGTAGTGGATTAGCAGGCTACGATGTGGTTTGCAGTCTCTCTTGCAGCCTATGCAACTCTCTACCACGTGGCCTACTGGAAAGCTTGAATTTGCACCATGGTTTTGCCAGTTGATGCCATCGAAAGCTTTGGGGCCTCGTCGTCATTTTCTTTGAGTTGAGTGTTGACCTTAAAAACTCTTTTGAGTGTGGAATTTGGGTCGCTCAAGACATGGGGATCAAAGAAGACGACGACGATGAAGGAAATGTGAAGAAGTACATCGGCCGGACTGTCAAAAAGTATTTTAAAGGGTATGGTGAGTTCTCTGGGGAGGTTATCTCCTTCAACAAGGCTCGCAATTTTTTCAAGGTGAAGTACGCCGACGGCGATAGGGAAGAGCTCGATTTGTCGGAGCTGAAAGCCATACTCGTGGACGTAGAGACGAAGGCCGTGAAGGAAAATCCGAAGCTGAAAGGGGCAGCTAACGGAGGTGGACGGAAACGGAAGCGAGACCAACCTGTCAAATACAGGAAGGGCGTTGTGGAGAATGGACCGACGGATAGGTGCAAAGAAGTTTCACAGAATGCAGAAGTTGTTTTTAAGGAGGAAGTCCTGGGCAAACCACCGTCTCAGGATTCGCAGCCCGGCAACAGCATGGTTCCGAACGGGGTAGGTGCCGAAAGTCCCAAGATTCCTGGAGAAGGTACTCAAGTAGACTCGGATCGTCCCCAGGTTCAGACGGCGATCAGCATCAATGGGGTTGTTCACGTTGATGAACCGGCTGACAACCTCTCTGAAGGTAGAGGGAAGAAGAGGACTGTAGAATGTGCTGCTCCAGTTGTAGAGACTACTCGGCCCACTCGCATAAAAAAACGAGCCCGAGATGCCTGGTCTTCCACTCCTGCAGGGCGCCAGAGAAACACTTCAGATCAATCTGGGCAGCATCAGGCTGGATCAAGTGTTGTTGAAGCTAAGCAGCCAAACGGTGTGATCCAAAACCTCGTAGGTGCTTCTTCATCGCTTCCTCCAGCAATACCACAATCTGCTGTGTCTGTTCATCAGGTTAGTGGGGCCGATTGCGACCAAAGTATTGGTCAGACATCTCACGGGAAGAGCTCAGCTACTTGTTCAGAGATTTGTGGCCCAAATTCCGTTCCTCTGGTTCCCAACCCCCCGACCGAGAAGCAGGTGGAAACCGTTGCAAAGGATGTTTACAGCCTTCGAGCCATTCGAGCGATCTCGAGGTCTTTGCCCGTCCAACGACAATTGGCCACGGCAGCAGCTGCTGAGGAATCCGAGGCCACCGAAAGTGATATCAACCATGTGGTTCTACCGAAGGAGGAAATTGAGCCTGAAATCCTCCCATTGAAGGACCCATTACCCGCTTCTTCCTCTACTTTGGGTCCTATAGAAGATTGCGTTGGCGATCTTTTTCAAGTCTACAGTTTTTTGCGCTCTTTCAGTCATGCGCTCTTTCTCAGCCCTTTCGGTTTGGAGGAATTTGTTGTTGCGCTTACGTCTACTTCTGTCAGCCCCATGCTGGACTGCATTCACGTGAGCTTGTTACAAGGTTTGCGTCGTCATCTGGAAAAGCTGTCCAAGAACAGCAACAATTCTGCAACGTTCTGCCTGAGGTAAACCCCTTTTTAAAATTCAAACTTATTGCAATTATCGCGTGTACATGATGTTTTGTATACTGCTATCTCACTCTGTATTTCCTTACATGTCAAACACGAGGCTTTGCGGGCCGGTACTTCTCCGGCAGGCAAGTGATCGTCTTGCTTTGTATGAACGTGTTTATCTTCCTTGATTTGTACGAGGATTTTTTTTTTCTGAAAAGTTGGCTAGAATCTCAGTGCGTGTCATTAAATGCATGGTTTAAAACATTCGTTGTAAATAGCCATGGACTGATGTCGTGATAAGGTTTGCGAGCACACTCCTTATATTCGAGCGTCGGTATAGAGAGGCCTGCCCATGGGTATGGGTGGGTGGGTATTGGGTACCCATTGCAGGACTCTGATGTGAATTATACTTGCTTGTTCTCATTTACGATTGAGAAACTAGCCGACATGTATTCTCAGGATTGTACTTCGTGTTATCTCCACTCTCTTCTAGCTCTGAGATTGATAGCTTATCATTTGTACTGCAAACAGGTTGCTGGACTGGACCCTTCTCGACAATATAACCTGGCCATCCTTTCTTATGGCTTATGCGCTCACTCAGGGTTTTTTAGAGGAGCGTGGATGGTCCTTTCAAGCTGGCCTGATCAGGATAGATTACTACAAGTTGCCTGCAGACAAAAAGTTGGCATACCTAAATTTCCTTTGCGACAAGGCCATGGAAACCGAAGATGTGAGAGGAGAAATTAACCGACGTATTTCTGCAGAGAACGATTCAGAGATTGTTGAAACCAAAGCGTGCAATTCGAAGCGTCCTGATAGGAGAAATAGGGAAGTCTTGTCTTTGGAAAACGAGTTTGAAGAAGAGTTTGAGAGGATGACTCGTCAGAAGCGAGAGTCTCTCAGTCAGAAAGCTGGAGTTCAAGGGTTGGTACCAGGAAAGACCACTCAGGCAGGAGAACCTAAACACCTTGAACGTGGTGAGGACGGAAATCTAGACGAATGTATTTTATGCGGCATGGATGGAGTTTTAATTTGCTGTGATGGATGCCCCGCAGCTTACCACTCTCGTTGTGTGGGGATCACCAAACAAGGACTCCCACCAGGAGAGTGGTTCTGTCCAGAGTGTCGGGCTGATAAACTAGACAGTAAGGGTGTCCGTATCCCCAAAGGTGTGAGAGGTGGAGATTTGTTATTTGTTGGTGCAGAGAACCAACGATTCTTCGCAACCTGTGGCTACCTCTTAATGTAAGTGTTTTTTCGCTTAAGTTTGCTGAATTTTTAGCACTTTTGCACTCTCCTCATTGTCATGACAATGACATCGACTTTCATGTATGTGTTGTCTGCCTTTCTCTTATTAGATCTTTCCAGCCTATCTGTTGTACTTCCGGCCCCGTCAAGCAAACTTTCTCTGTCAGGATAAATCTAGAGGGAAAATTGAGAAATCAATCTGAGCTGTATTATTTTCTCCTGAAGAGTGGTAAGGCTGTTTTTCCTGGGAGAGTGAATCTTGTAGTTGGTCGACCGTGGTACAGCTTTTGGGTAGTTTTGAGTCCAGTTTATACCACTTGGGTAGTTTGGAACCCCATGAAGTGTCGCCTATTCTTTTTTTATCCTAGATATACATTGCTTGCCAGAGATTCATTTAATGAACTACCCGGTTTCAACGTGCAGATCAGAGTCAAGCTCAGATACCGATTCTTTCTACCGGTACTACAGCCCGGGGGATATGCCGAGGGTCGTGAAGTATCTTGAAGATGCGGGCCCAAGATACGCCCCACTTCAAGCAGCTGTGCAGCAGCTATGCCAGCCGGATCTTGACTTTTCGTCAGCCGCAAATCAACCAATATTAGCTGCCCAAGTTTCTGGATCTATCTCCGTCGAGGACAAGAAGGGTGATTCGCCTGTCGTCGCCGACATAGAAGGGGATCCGAAGTTAACGAGCGGCACGTCTCCTTCATCAAGTCCCTCGGTCCCTCTTGTTAAGTTGGATACAGCCGCTTGCCTCGAGCCGCCTATCATCTCCGGTATTGAAGGGACACCTCATAAAGAGAATCTCCCCGTTCAAGCCGATGCTAATGCAAGTGATGTTGATCTGGCTGTCACTCCGAAGGTAGACCCGGCGAGAGATTTAAGCAATGGTGAAGGCGCACCTGAGGATACGCTTGAGCTTCGTGCCATAGAGCATTCTCCTGAAGGTGCACCAAATCAACGGGCTGAACCACACTCACCTCTTCGCACAGGTGGGGCTTGTGGTGCTCAAATGAACACGGAGACTGTTACAGACGTTGCCTCTGGAGGCGACATGCACACACCATTCAATGGATGGGGAGAGCTCAACATTGAGCAAAAGGATGGAGTAACTGATTCTGGGAAACCGATCCCTATCGCGCACTATATGTATGCGAAGCTTTTTCCTCGACAAGTCGAGAGTAACTTCTCATCGCTGACTCAAATCAATGCATGTGCGTACATCAATAAATATACGAATGGGGATATCGTTTTTACTGCTGCGACGTACCTATCTGCTATGGCTAGTAATGCGGAGGATGCTTCAGATGACAAAGGAGGATCCCAGAAGAAGGTCAAACCTTCGAACACTGCAGACCAATTGAAAGCTTTCTCTCAGGCTGCCCCTAATTTCTTCTGGCCGAGTCTGAAGAAGAGAGCCATGGAAGCTCCGAAGGAGAAATGTGGTTGGTGTGTTAATTGCAGGACACCAAATCGCAAGGGTTGTCTGCTTACTCAAGTGACAGGACAGATTTCTGGGGGTGCTGCAGGAGTATCTGGAGGAATAAAGCCTATCAAAGGACCTCCTGGTCACTACGCTGCAGTTGCAGCGTACATGTTGTACATGGAAGAGACTCTACATGGTCTGTTAGATGGTCCCTGGGAAGTGGCTGGTTACAGGAAAGCTTGGCGTAAACGTGTTGAGCAGGGCATGTCAATCGAGGACGTCCGACGGGCTCTTCTAGAAGTAAGTATATGTAACTCTTGGTCCAGGTATATGTCGTACATGAAATTTGTCCTTCGATGCGTTTGTTCATTATTCATCATCTGTTCTGCACAGATATCGTCTGTATCAGCTGATAATCATGTCTCTAAGCGGTCTGCAGCAATGACACCTACCAAAAAACTGACTAACTACAATTTGATGTGAGTATCGCAATACCCGTATATTCTATAGAAACTCATCAGTGATTGTATGCGTCCCTTGCAGATGGAGTTTAACCTTCGTAAGATTGCTCTATCAGCGGATTGGGAGAAGGTTGTGGAAGATGCTCCTCCTTTTATTTCCAATTATGTGATATCCGTCAGTGGAGCTGGAGCTGCTGGGCCGAAGAAGGGTGCTCCTAAAAGGCGAGGTAGACCACCAACTGTGTCGAAAACTCCAGCCGTTTTTGCTTATGACGGAGGTTGTTTTGGAGTCAAGTGGTGGAGAGGTGGTAAACTCTCTCGACAAGTTTACAACTGGGAAAGTCTTCCTCGGGCAGCATTGAAGCGTGCCGCACGACAAGGTAATGAGCGGCCTCTCATTCTTGTTTTAGTAACTTGACAGAAATGCATAACGTCTTTTTTGGTTCTCTGAAGCGTGTACCATGCCCCAGAGGCCTCTCATTCTTGTTTTAGTAACTTGACAGAAATGCATAACGTCTTTTTTGGTTCTCTGAAGCGTGTACCATGCCCCAGAGGCCTCTCATTCTTGTTTTAGTAACTTGACAGAAATGCATAACGTCTTTTTTGGTTCTCTGAAGCGTGTACCATGCCCCAGAGGTGGTAGGTTTGTCTGGAATAAATATAGTAGTCAAGGTACTGATTCTATTTGGTCTCGAAGGCGTCATGTAATATATTGGGTCTGGGAGCGTAAGACCAGTTTTGATTAAAACACTCCATACTCAATATAACTATAGCAATGGACAACTCAATTGAATGTTCAGGTGGGATGAAGGAAATACCCGAACTAGTGTACTCAAAGACCTCAGATCTTCCTCGAAGAACACAACTACAAGCTTGGAGGGCGAAAACAGAGAAGATTTCTGCAGTCGCTCAACTCGCTGTCCAGGTCTGTTGAATTCTGTGTAACATATGTCTCCTTTCGGTCATTTCTTGTGTTGCTCACAATTTCCCTTGTGGAGGCTTGATTGGCCCCTTATTGAATCCACTTGCTAGTTGCCTTTTTCTCGTTCTGTAGAATTCGCAGGACTTGAGGGCAGTGGTTTTTTAAACTTTATTTCCTGCTTAAGTATGTGATATTAAACGTATAGTCGTCCGTCCAGTTCCTCACTCTTAGATCGTAGCATTAGGACAATTGTACTCTACAAACAAAAGGTGGGTTGTGGTCAAGACACTGATTTTTATAGATTGTTTCAATGTTAATGGCGAAGTACAAATCATACGTTTATAGCCTACGTTGATCAGTGACTCGGTTGGTCAGGAAATCCAATGAATCTAGCGAACCTTGTAGTGTTGCCTGAAATGTGTTGCCTGAGCTGAATGCTTAACAACATCTCTCAATGTCATTAACTATGTGTATCCAGGTGGATGAGCTAGTGAAGGGTTTTAAGGTTGACGCCTGGAAACTCTGAAGTAATTTGGAATGTTTTTTTATTCGGGGAAGATTCAATGAGAGAGACCGAGATGAGAGATTCCCCTTTCAGTAGTCCCCCGGTCCGCCTCCCTCTTCATCTCCTCTACTTATTCCCAATTTGTTATTAGTAGTACCGCACAGTGGAACTCAGCCACGAATCGGGCTCTGTGATCTCCAAGCTGTTACCGATGAACACTACTGAATGCAGTTAATCTGTATATCTGCAGGTGAGATGCTTGGATAAGTACATTAAGTGGACTGAGATCGTTTCTCCGTGGGATGCATCTACCCACAACATCAAATCCTCAGTCGACAATAAGATGACCAAAGCTGAGATCTTATCGAAATCAGAAGAAGATGGTTGTATAAAGTATCTGCTCTATATTCCAAAAGATGGTGCGGATGTCAGTGATTCTACTCACCAACAACTTGACCTTGCGAATGGCAACGCTACAAGCAAGAAGGTGCCATCAGCAGGTTCTAAAGAAGGAGGCAGTGAACAATGGAGTCTGGATAAAGATGTGCCACTGTGGTTGTTGAAGGACTACGAGCAGAAAAGACGCAAGTCTCAACATGTGAAGCTACACAAATCTGTGAAGTTTCGTAAATTACAAACGCCTGTTGTAGAGAGGAAGCTTTCGTTCTGGGACATGATAAGCGATCCTCACCTATACGATTCACACGAGCCTTTGAAACTGTCAAACTGGATATGTGGATTTTGTCATCTCAGCTGCTTGAACAGGTGAGCTAGGCAAGGCCATGATCACTGTCTGTGTCATGTATTCCATTTTCGTTTTTTTGTTCTTTGGAAGGCTCCGCTGTCAATATCATGATTTTACTAACATCATACCGTTGTTGTGTGTGATGTTGATCTCTTGGGTTTCCAGCCAATCTATTCAGTGCCAGCGTTGTACCGGTATGTGATGTTCATTACCACTTCTTGTGTTTTTGTTTTTGTTGTGAATCATTATCGCTCATGAAACGTCAATTTTTCTCACATCAACAGTTTGAACCGATCAATTTTACGCTGTCTCTGTTCAATCCAGAGTACTTTGCAGGTGATTGTGCATTTTCCTTCCGTGTCATCTAAGACTCAGGTTGTGTGCTGTGGCGCAGAGAAATTCCACATCGCTTGTACAGAAGTCGAAGAAACCATCGATGGACGCGACAAAGTAGCCGTTTGTAAGAGTTGCGCAAAACTTCGACTAAGTCAGCGGAACCGGAAGCCCTCGTACAAGATACGCAGCATGCAATCTCATTATCCCGAAGGCAGTTTTGTTGGCGCTAGCAAAGGTATTCCAATGGGAGATGCAGATGAAGTGGGTGGTAAATCTGGTTCCAACTCAAAATCGTCAAGGAAGAAGGATAGAGGCTCTTCTATGGCTAGCCACTCATCTCCGGAGAAGGATGATTCACCTCAAGGAAGAAGGAAGTCCGGACAGAGGAGGAATGGTCTCCTAAGTGGATCTGAACATGAGTCTTCCGATTCTGAAGAGAGAGATTCTGAGAAGAGAGCCTACACCCGGCTTTCAGCAGATTCCAGTCATTTGCTAGCCAATAGTCCAGGGAAGGGGGGAGGAAGAAGTAAATCCGGAAGGAAATTGAAGAGCCTCCAAGCTGTTGGAAGGGAGTTGCATCTTAGTCCGGATACGGTCCAGGTAGAAAGGAGAACCTCATCGAGGATCAAGAACAGTATGTCTCCTAGTAAATGCCCTGCTGTAAATGAGGATGAACATGTGAAGGTCAAATTGAAAATTGGAAAGAGTCTTCCAAATCACACTCCTGCCGTGTCGAGCAAAGAAGATGAAAATCGGCTCGCTTCTAAGAGGAACATGGGATTGTCCAAAGACGGTGCCCCATCCGAAGCAGAATTTTCTGAGGATGATTTCGAGTTTGCCCTCACGGACAAAAAGAAATCCCCACAAAAGCGGAAAAGGTTAAAAGTTCTTCTGAAGGGTCTGCCAATAACAAGCGAAGATGCTGATAGTCCTAACCCTCTTGTTCGGAACGAGAAGAGGAAGGCCAGCAACGGATTGCAGTACGTTCGTCGGAAGAAGAAGTCTGATGAGGATGTTGCGAGGTTTCGGCAGGAAAGATTGGTGTTTGCGGGTCACGTGGACATAGATCCGAACAATGTGCCACGATGTTCTCTGTGCTCTGAAGGTTACGATCCTGCCTACTCCTTCATCAGTTGCGAGTGGTGTGAAGGTACGTCCCTACCGCCTGCTACATGGAACATCGTTCATTTTAGTCAATGTAAGACCCCGCTTGAGATGCTCTGTGACGATCATCAAAAGGAATAGGGGTCAAGACTTCAGCCCTTGTAAACTTTCTGGTTCTCCAGCTGAAAGCGAAACCGGTCCGTAATATCGCTCTGCTAGTGGTGTCCCAACCTGTTTTATAGATTTTACTAGCCTTGATAATATCAAAGAGCGGCTTAGAAATTGTTGCTTTGGTATTATGTAGTCAGGTCGATAGATTAGATCTCCAAAGCAGTCCCACCTATGTCAGTGATCTCCATAACAAAATAGGAAATTTTCACTACAAATTTTTCTTCTTCTCATACTTAGTCTTCTCATGCGAGCACCACATCTCTTCAGTTAGAGCGTGGGGTCCATGGTCTTTAGACCAATCTTCAGCAATTGTCTTAAAAGGTATTAGTTGTACAATTCCCTATTCAGTCTCAGTGGGCTAAAATTCTACTGCATAAGGTCTTGGTTTATTTGGAACTTTTCTCCCTGCTGTCTACTATGATCAAAAGGTACGCGCTTTTGCACCTTAAAGTAATGTAGATCCCAGGGTTGGCGATGCTTGTTCGCGTTGGTTTTCTAGGACATGCCGATGATGTTGCATTGGATTCGTCTTGTGTGCAGAGTGGTATCATGGAGACGCAGTAGGTCTGACACAAGAAGATGTCCCACTCCTTATGGGGTTCAAGTGCCACAAATGTCGTAAATGTCGAGCCCCTTCTTGTCCGATCAGCGGCACACGACAACGACCTGCAGCGAAGGTTCGTAGGAGAGGTAGTATTGATCATGGGGAGGTCATAGATGCTGAGAACGTTAATAGAAGTGTACAGTCATCTTGGAAGTATCCTTCAGAGAAGGACTTGTGTGGATTCAATGACATGAAGGCATTTCCAGATTTTGTTGCCGCAACCAATCAAGCCGAGCAGGCTCTGGCTGTTGATGGCAGTAATTTTGGTCACGGCTTAGGCCCAGCTGATTTCGATCTGACAAGTGGGCTCATGTGTGACCTTGAACAACAACTCCAGCTGACGACCTCACTGTCTTCAATAGGCGAGCATAATGTGAATCTCTGGGCCAGCAATACTGGTTCAGGTCAGCTTGATCTGCCTAGTGACTTTTCGTCACCGCTAGATCTGTCATCCCGGGGTACGGCAGCCCTATCTTTTACTGAGCTTCTAGCCTCAGATGATGATTATCTGGAAGGTGTTGCAGGACCTGAAATCCCCTTAGGAACTGCATGGGTAGATGCCCCAGTCTCTGCATCTGGAGTTGCTTCAGGTGCCGCCGCTTGGTGCGGAGCTGATGGAGTTGACGAAAATTTAGCCGGAGCTGCAGAATGGAATAACAGAAGTGCAGGCCTAGCAGGAACTTCGGGAGCGGGCGCAAGTGCTGACTGGTCTCGACGCGAAACAACACCAGGGTCCTCTGATTTGGACCCTGCCGTTGGCTGGACTGCAGCTGAACGGCTTGCAGTACCCACTGGAGTCGGCCCAGTTGCTGGTTGGACTGGTGGAGAAGGATCGGCTTCGATGGCCCCGGGAGCAAGGTGGGTTGGACCAACGGAGGACTTACCTTCTGCAGCTACTCCATTGGCCCCCGACGCCTATGGAGGCGCTGCTGCTTTCACCAGTGTACAAGAAGGACCTGGCCGACCATCTAGTCTCGTAGCTCAGGTACAAGCAGATCCAGAACCTTTGCCACAACCGGAAGGCAAAGAATCAGAGGGTTCGCATGAGCAAGGAGTCGGTGAATGTTGAATAGGTAGCAAATAATATTGGCGTAGGATTACAGTTAGGCAAGTGTATAGGTGCACGTCTAGGATTGTCCCTCCGTTTTTTAATCGTAATACCTCATAAGGAGTGGCACGTTCTTCAACTCCAACCTTGTTAAAATTAGACCTAGTTTTTCCCCTGCAAATGGGAGCAAAAAATACTGTAGTTTAGTCTCACATTTAAGGGCATACTAGCTTCCCAGTGATTCATCGATTTGCGGAACAATTCTTTGGTAATCATTCCCTGGAACATTGCCCAGGTCCTTCTACCCGTTTCTGAGTGGTTTTGCACGATGTTAGTTGTGTCGGCCATCAAGATGATTGCCTTTACGTCATACCGTCACAAAATCTCCCCATCATCTCCAGTCCGGGACAATGCCACACCTGTCGGGCTTTGCCTTAGGAAAGCAAAATAACATGAACATGATGTATTACTTCTTGTTGCAAGCCAGTAATACTTGCCGGTTTTCGATTTATTGTATGCTTAAAGGGCTTCACATTGTTGCTAAGATACTTCTCATGCATCTAGTTGGCATTTGTAACGAGTCCACATACTCTTATCCCTTCTGTAGTTATCCAGCTTGGATATCCGACTTGGATATGAGTTTGACAATATCTTCGTAACTATCAAAGACTGCAAGTAGAAGTAGACAAGGAAGTGAAGAACATGACTTGGTAAGGAAGATGAAGAATATTTTTCATATTTTGTAATTAAATATTTTTATTCAATCAAATGTTGCGGGCGTTACCCGCCAAGCTTGACCTGCAATCAAAGTGTGCTTATCAACTCAGTCAAATTAAGCTCTGTGCATCAAGTAGCAGGGATCAAATTAAGTTCTGTGCATGAGGGGTTGAACCCGGCTATCTGCTGAGACAGCCCGGAGCAGGATTTTGGGTTGCTCCTAGTGGAGCAAACCACCTCGCATACTAAAGTCATGAAGAAAATGGAAACAGGAACAGTCTACGTTGAGTGCAATTGCGCTCTTTACTGAGACTCAGATTACGGATTGGGCGAGAAGGCAGGCACGAAATGTATGAGGTGCGGTTGCGCTTAGCAGATATATAGATATCAAGGATTTCAATCGAGGTCCAAACTTCCGAAGCCTGAAACTTAAGATACTATTAAATAAGTCTGAAGTCAAGGGCATTGAAAGTCCCCACTCTACGTTGCCAGTCGATGGATTTTCTCCGTCTGAAACTGACACTTATCTCAAAATAAAGCTTGAAGAATACAGGGTGAAGCAAGTTAAAGTGACTGGTCCCTGCAATGATAGTAGGCTTGATGGGGTTTGTGTTGGCTTCTCTTCTTTGTTATTCTCAATGGTAGCATCGTCAGCTCCATCAGTTTATATCCAAGCGTCTCCCTTTTTTGCATGTTTCAACATTGAAACAGTGTGCATAGGACTCCCCTTTCGATATTCCCCTTCGACGACCTCAGATCTCAACCTCTAAACAGAATTGAAGAGCAAACTTGGAATTCAATTTTGTAACTTGGATTGAAGTCCAACTTTGCTCTGAGGAGAAGCGTGTTAAGGGAATATAGAATCCGAAGAACATCATCGTTACAAGGTCTGAGAAGGCGAAGGATGAGACTCAGCTCCTGAGTGCTCGTTTTCCTAAAGCTGCCGTGGGAGAAAGAAAATATAAGGGTTGTTGTCAACACAGAGAATGATGGCTGAAATGTACTCTGTTTTGGTGGAAAAAGGCCAATGGACATTGCTCTATTGAATTTTTCCATCATGAAACTGCAAAAACAGATGACATTGCTATGAGCAAGAAGAGAAATATTGAAAGGAGAGAAAAGGGGGAATTCTTAAATAAATAAACAAATATATACTCACTCTCATCTAAATTCATCCAAAATTAATGTAGGTGAGTGAGTCGATTACCGCCCAATTATGAGGAGTGTAACAGCCATGTCTTCATGTGATCTGAAGCAGTGGTCGGCTTGATACTTTATTTCCCTATGAAAAGGTGATGTTTGCTTGCGTCAAATACAGCTCATATCGTTTTGCTCCTACTTTATTTTTTTCCATTGTTCCATTTCCTAGCACTTTTCCTCTCGACAGTATAACTTAAATACAACCTGCAGGAATATGGAACAATAACAACATGCCTCTTTCCTACAGGAACCTCCACAATGGATCCAGTGCGCTTTACAACATCTAATTCTTTAACTAGCTTGGAGCCAGTTTCCAATCCAATTTTGAACCTTTAAGCTCGTGTCCGACAAACCAGAAGGTACTTTTTGTCAGACTAAAAAAAGCTCCCTTTGGGGCTTATGGGCAGATACTGCCACCTCCCCCACGAGTTGACAAGAAAATCGGGACTATCTGCATTTGGGGCACAGTTTGATTCAGGTCGAACTGCTTTCCAAGTGACAGTCATTCGTCCGAACACGAGGAGAAGACAGAATAGTTCTCACGAATTACTCAGCAGAAACACAAAACAACAGAAAAGTTATCTGTTGCAGTAAAAATTGCAAGAAACTTGAATCAAGATGGTGTCCGACAAGTAGCAGCTGTAATCACACATAACATCTTCGAGAGTACAAATGAGAGACTGGACGAGTATTTGTACTGTTATACAACATCGAAGACGGGCTCAAATTGAAGCCATGAACAACAAAGCCGTGGTAACCAAGTTCAGCCTTGATATGTTTCTTTCATACACCAATCGCTTACTTACACGTGAGAAATGGCAGAGATCTGAGTCGAACAACACCAAGCTGGAGACTCTATAGCACATCGTCTGATTATACGCACGTATCTGATGAGGGATTGAACACAGCGAGTAAAGGAAGAAAATTTGACAAAACTTGAAGTGGAAGGTGGAAATAAGAAATGAACGATAAGTCGCGAGCAGATATACTCGTATGTTCCAAAGGATTCGAGATGTACCGATGAACGGTATACAGAAAGTTAGTGGTAATGAGGCGAATCAAAATGTACATGTCATGAGTTAGTGGTATTATGGAAAGATTCAACAATGCTGGGGAAGCAATGTTGAAGCACATTGGGGATGAACAATTTGAGAATCTGACTGTCCATCGGTTGCAAGTTGAATCTTGCTTGTCAGAAGTGACAGTGTGTTCAGCGTGTGCATGCGAGTGGCATACAACTGGCTACAAGATCAGCGGTTATGGAACTGTTGACTTGATGCCTTGACCACGCTCTTTGCATGGCGATCATAATTATGCAATTTGCACTCGCTTTGGGGCCTCTTGCAAAGTAGTTGGTTCATGCTTTTTTGCCATTGAAGTCCCGTTCACTTCCTCGCTACCATGGAAAAGGAAAAATCAGCAGGAAGATGTGTTTGAAGCAGCTGGATCAGCCCCAAATCTTCTATCCCCGAAGAAAGCAACTTATGGCAGAATAGAATGCAAAGGTTGATAATTATAGACCGTCAAGAACACGAAGAAATTGAAAGATAGAAATCATCGACCAGCTCCTGGTCCATTTATTGAACCTGCTATTGCTGACATATAACCTCCCGTGATTGTCAATCCAGGTTGGCAGTCAGACACAATTAGGAAAAATAAGAAACAAAAATGATGTATACCAGCCAAACTCATAGTCCAATCGCTAAAGCAATCAGCAGAAGCCAAAAGAAAAATCAATCCTTTCCCATACATTGTTGTTCTCTTTCTTCTAAACCATGTGTTTCAATATTAAAAAACTGAACAAATTTTTTTCAATCCATGCATGCGATCCATCAGGACCAAAAGGACAAAAAAGCCACTAAGACAAGACAACTGTCGAATCTAAAACAAAGTATATTTTCTACACTTAACGATCATTTGATAGATTATCCATCTCCGATCAATATAAGTTATTGATGGAGTTTTGGTTCGTTGGCTGGTCTTTGCCTTATTGCTTAACAAAACAATCCGTGGATAATGAATATTGGTTGACAATGACAAAGGATGAAAAAAAAATAAGAGGAAGGGAGAACTAAACATTAATTTTGGTTATAATACCAATCGCATGGCCACGAATCTAAGAAATATCTTTTCACGTGTTTATGAAGATGAATTCCTTGAAGTGAGGTGAACAAACAGCACTAAAAAGAGGAATCAAAGCTTTCAAAATGTACATGCACATCTAACGGATCCATGGTCCATGGATAGAATCAAGAAATTTACCTTCTTCTAACAACCCATGGCATGGCGTGCCAGGCCATGACCTTCACAACTCGTTCCGCATAGAAGAGCGTCGTCTTCGTGCTCTCGCTTGCATGCATGGCGCTTCCTGCGGCTGCTGCCGGCGGCGCCCGCCGCGGGCCAACGCATAGCCCAAGTCAAAATTCAAAAACCTTCACCATCGTCACCTTTCACTTGCACAACAAAGAAAGTCGTCGCAGCGCTCCAGTAGTTCGGGGCACCAGCGGAGGGAGGGAGGGAGGGTCGACGAGGAGGAGTCGGAGAAAAAGAGAAAGGAAGAGCTCTCACATCACATGGGCGATAATGCACGAAGAATCACCGACCAGCGCATCGAAGCAGTCGAGGAATATATGGGAGAGGGAGCATGGCGCGGGGGTTTTCTGGGCCAGGACGACCTTTGATGCCATAGATGGCCAAGGCTAGGCTGCTCTGCTCGGCTCCGCTCACAACAAATTCAACGACAAATTGCGAGCATCGAACGTGAAAATGCGGACGAAGAGGGTCCGGAGCGCATTCATTCGATCTGCTCGTCAACTTGCAGCCGGTGGACCGAGGCTCGTGACCGGCTGCTGGAATACGGCCAAAATCGGTTCGGTAACTTTGGGTGACTTCGTTGTCGGATCAGGTGAGACCGCTAGATGGGTCGATGTTGATGTGGATGTCGATGCTGACATCGGAGGACATGGTATGATGAGGCGTATTACATGTCCACCGACCGTACCGGTTTCTGCGGCGGCCCGGGTCAACCAGTGTGGTTGTTCGCAAGGCCGGGCGGGCAGGCGGGCGGGTCCAGGCAGACAGACGGGCTCGCGGCGGTAGATGTGATGTGGAGTCGGTGCTCGAGCGGGCTTTTCTAATTCTGGTGAGGACGACGGTCGCACAGCCGCACCAAGATGCATGAGATGCGGAGATCTCGCCACTTGGCGGGCTGCCACGACGATGGGCATGGGAGCTCCTTCGCACGCTATGCTCAAGAGTGTCGCAGTACGCAACCGGTGCCGGTCGTCCGGTCCCCATGTCACCGGGACCAGACCGGACCTGATCGCTGACTTCGGCATCACGAGTTGCCATGGGTCTGTGATCTGACCGGGAGAAGCTCGTCGAGCTCGAGCTTCAAACAGATCGTGTGATTTTCGGCCTCGAGTTCCTTCCATCAGCCTTTACTTCGAGTTCCTTTGTTTATTTTGTGCCACCTCTCGCTAGGGCGAAACTGTCTTCGGTTAAATCTGATTCAAAGATCACGTCAGAAGGTTCAACGAACTGAACAACTTGACATGTTGACTCTTACTCGGTCCACTCTCGGCTATATTTATTACAGTACTTGATTGGTTTTCCGTGGAGATACTCTGTGAGGAATTCCCGACGATGCTTACTTAGAGATGGACTTCTGCTTCCAGGGGTACGAAAGTCAAAATTACTCAGCAATCAGTAGTTACATGTTAAAGCTACGATTGTAACAGCCTCTAGATTACTGCACGTAGTTACATGTAACTGGACCTTACAAGACTCGGAGGAACGATCCAGTGTTAGATCAATTTCCAGATATCCAGATTGATAGTTTATATCGTAAATGTATCCAGAAGGATACTCTTCGTCTTGATTTTGGCGGGCCGGCAGCTCTTGTGACATTTGCAAAGTGAATCATGCTGCGTAAGAAGCTCCAAATGCATCCAAAAGATTTGGAAAGAAAGCTCGGGCTATTGAGTTCATGATCAAAGAATCCCATACGTTAAATCATTTTTTCACAAGGCTGCTCTTCGACTTAATGTCGTCGGGCTATCGCAATATTGAATTCCGTGATCATATTCAGAGGAAACCTGTACAATACATTTACATTTATCGTTCTATTTCCGATAGGTTTCAGATCCCCAACACCTTACGAGGATCAAAGACTGGCCACGGCCCACACGAGCGAGAGTGATGGATCAGAATCAGGTCAGAATCCCATCATGGCCACCGCTTCCCTTTCCCAGTATTCTTTGGCTTCTTTTAGACGAGCCTCTCGCTCTTCAAGCTTCCGCTCGTGGAAATACTCTTCGCACCTGCACACACACACGACACCTCGAGAACCACAGTTGGAAACATAGCAGACAAGAGAGAAACAGAACTCAATAAAGTCGTTGGAAAGGGTAAAAGTTGGAACAATCGGTGCCGGTCCCCACTGCAAGTACCTGATTTTTATCATAACCGCGAGTTCATCCAGATACATTGCGGTGATATAAACTCCAGACTACAGCAAGTATGAAACTCGGTCAGGTACCAAGAGTACGAGAATCAATTCAAATTTCATGAAGTCACTCAGTGTCTAAAAGTATTCTGCGGCAAAAGGGCAATCACATGACGGAATCTTCCACATGTAAGTTCCTGTTTACTTGAACAGCTACTGCAGATGATAGACATCAATGGAATACGAGCAGAATCCAGACTTGACGGCCAACTTGTGAACCGCAACCAAAGTGCATATTCTCGTGGTGGGGTTGGGAAGGCCACGATGAGGTGGGTGGGGCCAGCACCTGTCTGCATATCGGACATTTGTCTCCTCGACGGGCTGCTTTGACTCCTTGAAATGCCGGCACAGAGGCCGCTGCACATACACAGCTCCTGCAAAAGATGTGGCCGCATCCTAACGCAACTGGGTCGAACACGACTTCCTGTTGGCAGGCCACGATATTGACTCATCATCATCTGCCTGATGGCATCCCGTTTGGAAGTCGGCTGAACTTAAAATCACTTCTCACTTACCCCGGACTGCTTGGGAATCTGAGCACGCGGATTAAATGCAGGCTAGAATCAACGAGAGCACACGACGTTTCATTCATTTTCGGCCGCGGGCTGCATGTAGAGCAGATTACATTCAAATGATGAATTTCAAAACTTGAAATCACTCAGCGTGAAGTCGAGGTCCAGTGGACAAACCAGGCAAATAGGGCACTCGAGATTGAAGTCCAGACGGACGGTCTCCGGGAACACGTACGATAAAGTGTGTTTCTCGCTATCAAAGTCACAGGTCCAGTAGTCCAGTTGTTGTGCTTGGAAGGACTGATGCGCTTGACCGTAATGCATAGAATCAGTTGAATCTGCTAGACATAAGGGCCTCGGTACTTTGGGAGCCATGAGATTGATCGCAAGAGCGCCTAGTTCAATTAACCATGGTGATTGTAACAGTTCTGCATGCATGACTTGAAGCTTGGTCTTGAACTCTCTTCCATTGAGCGAGCCATGTACCTGTAAGATAGTTCATAAAAATCGTAAGAAAAGATCCAAAGTCCGCATACTGTTGGCAATGGTGAGAGTCAACTTTACCTGGCACGTAATCTGAACTCTCTTCACATTGGTGGACCGTGCTGGCAAGCTTTCGACATCTGGCGGAAAATCTTAAAATGTGAACTGTTAGGCTGAAGCAAAATCCGCAGTAATATCAGAAAAGGCAGCATACTCGACTAAACATATGGCTCTAATATATTACCTTGTCATATTTCTTTAAAATTTTGCGAACTGCTAAAGCGTTCATGCAGCCGTACGAGACTAAGGTGTTTCCAACTTTCATCATGTTTGGAGTATCGGGGCTGATTTTGGTCTTCAATCGTAGGAGAAGCCTCCTGGGTCCCGTTGCCAAGTGAAGATTGCGCAACTGACGTGACGACTTTGTGAAGTAATCCACGACAGATGAAACCGCTTTCAGAAGATCTGGGAAGAACTCAGCATCACAAGCTGCGCAGGCGAAACATGGAACTCAAATCAGGCTAGAATCAACGAGAGCACACGACATTTCTTTCATTTTCGGCCGCGGGCTGCATGTAGAGCAGATTACATTCAAATGATGAATTTCAAAACTTGAAAGCTTTCAGCGTGAAGTCGAGGTCCAGTGGACAAACCAGGCAAATAGGACACTCGAGATTGAAGTCCAGACGGACGGTCTTCGGGAACACGTACGATAGAGTGCAAGGCCATAAAAGCACCGCAAAGACAGTGTCCTTAAAACTCTCACCTGGACAGGAAAACTCATGCATTTCAACGCTTTGAGAGCGTTGCTGAGGATGACATTCATCATCAGAGGTAGTAGAAGCATCGTCGGGAACAGAAACACCCAAACTTAAAGCCTCTTCGGAAGAAGAAGACTCGTTCGCAGCACAATGAAGGGGACACCTTTTCAACAGCTTCTTGAAACGTTTAAATTCCACATTAGAGCACTCCGGAAGCAATCTGTGTGCCTCCGTCTCCACGAAAACGCTGTACTTCTTGCCAAACTTCATCTATCCTCAACTCGCATCCCCAGTCAGAACACTCGATATAATAACAAGCTGCCTCCAACCAAAAAGCGTTACGGAGTCGAAGAAGAGCAACGAAGCCAGGAAGGTAGGTCAGATCAGCCCAAGACGACTCCAACGTCTGCATCCACTCTCACCTCTCTCCGCATTGCCGCATGCACCAAAACCCAACCAGCCTCACGAAATCCCGACGAACGCAAAGGGAGTGCGATCAATCCTCGATCCCAATTAAAGTCGTCACCAAGCGCGAGCGCCTGTCCCCCACCCACCGCTACATAATTCGAGCTTCGAAATTCCGCGGCGCCCGAGATCAGAAGCCATAATTCGGTCGCGCATGCAGCATGTCTGCTGCTCACTCCCACATGCGCGCATGCAATCAATGCTACAACACTGGGCCAAGATTCAGATCCCTGTCACTGCTGCCTCCCCTTCCTCTTCCTCTAATCCTCCCCGTCGCCCTCTCTCCAATCTAAACCCTCGTTTCCTCGACGCGAGCGACTGCTTTGCGGCTGTTGGCGCTTCTTAATAAGACTGCGGGCGGGCCCGCCAGCGGGGCACTGGATAGATCCTGGGCGGCCTTTTCTCTTGCCTGCCACGTCACCCTCCTGTTAGTCGCCGGTCTTCTCTCGTCCTGCGTGGAATGACACCTGTCAATTCGTTATTCTTCCCTTTTATCTCTTCCATTTTGTTGTGCGGTTTTATTGGGGTCCAGGGTATATCTAGCCCCATGCTGCCCATATGGTTTCATCGCTGTTCGGCTTGACGGGGTCCTCTCGTCGTCGTATACTTTACTGTATTATGTGTTTTATTATTCGCTCCTGCCATCGTCTTGAACCTTGCCGGTATCGGTATCATTTTAACATGTGACTCGTTAGACTTGCTCGTTAGTCCACGAGCTTAATTAACTACTGCTTAAATTTAATGCTTCAGGGGTTTGTTTTTTTGTTTTTTAGGTTGTTTTCTAGTGAAGTATGACATAGTGAAGAATGAGCTGTTTCGGACACTCCTATACATACCATCGGAGGTGTCAATAAATCCCTATGAATTCTGACGTGTCGTGAACGTTGCCTGTTCACAACCTACGCAGGATATGCGTGACAATTGTACCAAAGTATTTTACAAAGCCCCCACTGTCCGTCCTGTAGTTACTGTGGTCGTCTCTGTACCATTCAGCTGAATGCATGTGATAGAACTGGTTCGTTTCCATGGTTCTTCCAACATCAGATACAACGGCACGCTGTGGTCCCGTTGGAATATAAAGAGTTGAGCCCAGCATGAGAAAAGAATGAGAAAATATGAGAAAAGTTGGTCTTCCTATTACAAGAGGTAGGAGACTTAAGAAAATCACCGAAAAGAAGAAAAACGCAGCTCAGGAGTAATTTCCCCAAGAGAATGCCGATTTTATTAAAAGGGTAGTATAACTCTTCAACTACACCAAAGAATTGGCTTTCATCCCACAACTAAAACGAGGTGTACGAACTTACTCTAACTCTCACTGTCACTAGTGACAAGGTCAAAATCTGAATTTCGATAGTAGCTTGGAGCAACTGCTCGTCACCACAAGCTCCCGTGATTCATCTCGAACAGTGGAATGAGTATACGACTTGCCCTCCTTGAGCACCAAACAAAACTGGTGTGGACCAAAAGCTTGTCACCAACATATTTAAGATTCGTTACAATTTTAATTCCTTCGATTCTATTCGTCCGTTACACATCCTTCTGAAGCTGATTTCACCGTCTTAATGTACTGCAAGCATCAACACACAGCATACAAGTTGTCAATTCACGGATCAATTTCAATCCTACAGAAGATGACGCCGATGTTCAGAGCCGTAGACTCCAATTCAGAAAATTCATCCTTCCAGGAGTCATTTCTCCTACCACATTTTGCTGCACATGAAATTTACTTTTATGGACTTATGCTTTCATGAACTCGGACATGATTAATGTTCGAGTCAAGTCAACTCTGACTTGGTACGTCTTTAAACAGGACATACCTTGTACAGTGTGCCCCTTGTTGCCTTAAGAGGTGGTGCCACCCACTCTTGACGCCTTCGTTCCATTTCGGCATCTGAAATATCACAGTTGATACTCCGCTTCTCTATATCCATGGTGATCAAATCACCATCTCGTACCAGACCAATAGGTCCCCCGACCTGTCACGAGCGGCCAGTTTGAGTTCGAGGATCAAAAGGTTGTGCAATGAAAGATGTTGAGAAGAACAGCTTCAAGCTTGTGGGAGCACCGCCCAATGGGCTGGAGAGATGAAAACCACTCGAGGTGCACAGTTATCATCAACTCATTCTCAAACCTCAGAAGGAACAGGTCGGAACATATGGACATACCTGTGCTTCAGGACAAATGTGACCAACCACAAATCCGTGAGATCCACCGGAAAATCTTCCATCGGTTAGGAGAGCGACATCCTGCATGTGACAGACGGCAGAGGGTCAGTTATGGTCTAAGGTTGCTCGTGTATGTGTGTTTCATCTTCTCCAATAATGAGGATTATAATGAGCTGCAGTGGCCAAAGATCTAAAACTAGACTAGTCGTATCTCAGCCAGACCTTGCCAAGACCGGCACCCATGATTGCACTGGTCGGTGTGAGCATCTCTGGCATTCCTGGACCACCCTTGGGGCCTTCTCCTTTGATAATGATAACCGTACCCTGAGTGAACATTAAGAAGAAAGTCAGCTCTGTTGGATACAAGCGCAACTACAGTAGATTATAATTTGGGAAGGAGATGGTATGATTGGACCAGAAGTCGAAGAGAGGATTGACCTCTAGTAAACTTTTAATAGGTCAAAGTCTAAGTACCTTGAAGCTCTGCGGGTTCTTGGAAAGTGCAGCCAACATGGCTTCTTCTCCATCAAATACTCTAGCAGGCCCTGCGTTCCACAATCATATGTTAGAGACATGTCCTTTAAAACTAGAACACAAGGACATCTGTAGTTGAAGAGTTGAGGTGTCTAGCTTCGTAAAAGGAATACTCGTATGAAGGGACATATCTAAGTCTTTTGAGTTTAGGTTAGCTGCAGAGCATACCAGAGAAATATAGTCCTTCCTTCCCAGTGATCTTCGCAACGCTCCCTTGTGGCGCAACATTACCATAAAGAATTTGAATGTGACCAGTCTTCTTCATTGGAGTTTCAAGGGGCATGAAAACTTTCTGGAGAAGCAACATGAATAAATCATTTTGAGGCTAACTCGATTCGACGTTTGAGGTGGATTAGTCAGTCTCTCTCGTTCTAAACCTCAATACTGAAAGAAATTGGCAGCCTCATGCGAAGATGTGGTCTCATTGTCCGTTCAATTAAGAGAATCATTCATGTGTTGAGAAGATACGAGCTTACCTGCCCGTCTGATAGAGGTGGGCAACTCTCAAGGTTTTCAGCTAGTGTCTTTCCAGTTACTGCAACAAGAAACAGCAGGGTTGTTTCATACAAATGTAAGCCATAAAATCCCAGTCTTGAAAACGCTCTGGACATATTAACAGACCAAATTTAGTTATCGGAGGGTGGGTCATATACTAGCGTATATGACCTAGAAGATACCGAGAAATTTCCTGAGTAGGTAACGTACAATACAGCAACAGATATGCAGATCAAAATGGACGAGATTCTCATACCTGTAAGACAGCTACCATCAATAAAGCCCTTCTCCAACAGGTATTTCAATACAGCTGGAACGCCTCCAACCTGAGCCATGCAGATTTCGTCTGGAATTAGATTGTCTGGTTCAATTATGTACACTTCAGTATTTCAACAATACTGATTCCATCCAGAGAATTACTTAAATACCTTGTGAAGGTCCTCCATAACATATTTGCCACTTGGCTTCAAATCCGCGAGGAAAGGTACTCTGTCGCTAACACTTTGGAAGTCGTCCAGAGTCAAGTTCAAGCCAACAGACCTGCAAGTAGGAAACCAGTTGTAGTGAAAATCAAAAGTTTAAAAAAATTGCTAGAGTTAGTTCCGTCAAAATCTGGAAGCTGCGAAATAAAAGTCCCCGCCAACGAGACCTATACCTGGCTCAAGTTACTACAAAGGTTTAGTTCTGTAAACTTGAATCTTATGAACTCTCTGTGAAAACTTGGACAGTAGGATTTTAACTTGATACGTACCTGGCAATGGCCATGAGGTGCAAGACGGCATTTGTGGAGCCACCAAGGGCGATGACAATCACCATGGCATTCTCCAAAGCTGCCCTGGTAATAATGTCACGCGGTTTGATGTCTTTCTTCAAAAGCTCCAAAAGATACTTGCCCGCCAATTTGCACTCCTCAATCTTCAGAGGATCTTCAGCAGGAATGGAGGAACTGCAGGGGAACAAGACATACGGTTTTGATTAAGCTGCATCCATCAGAAAGGGCACAATGAGTTCGTGGAATACCAAGATTACACGGCGTTGGGGTATCACTGAAAATAAACGTTCAGTTGTCATCCATACTCCAACACATTCGTATCTGAAGCAGCTGCATGGAGTGTACTATCATTCAACGGGGTAGCCTCAAGTTTAAAGATCTTACTCACGACAATCCAGTGGACCACTAAAATGTTAAACAAGGAAATCTTAAATGAGTGTGTCGTGATTAGTTACGTTAAATATTTACAGAATTGCCTTCAGAGATGTCATACTAATATCAAGATTGAAACAAATATTACTTTCAATATCAAGAAACTGTCAACATTCTTCCAATTTGCTAGCAGTGTAAGAGACTACTGAAATGCACACCTGTATGGGAGACTCATGCCGAGAGCTTCGATGGCACTGGCCATAGTATTTGCTGTATACATCCCACCACAAGCTCCTGCACCTGGACATGCATTCTTCAGGACGCTCATCCTTTCCTCCTCCTCCAACGTCCCGGCAACATACTCTCCGTAAGTCTGGACAACGACAAGTCCCACGGAGAATAGATCAGAATTAATGGAAGCAGTTTTCGAAATACAGATGTGCAGAAGACAAAGGAATGTGTATACACTCATGAGCTATTTGTTCGCCCTCAGACTTAAAGCCAATCCAGTAACAACAAACGGAAATGCTACGGACTTAAACGAAAGAAGTTCCACAAAAAATACCTGGAAAGCTGAGATAATATCGTAGCTCTTCTCTCCCACAATTCCTGGCTGTGAAATCAAAACGATTTTCAACGATGGTTTCGTGCAAAAAGTGACATTCAAAGTTATCGACACTCATATTCAGGAAGAAAACTGCTACCTTATACGTTGAAGACTTTCTCACAACTTCCTAGCAAGAATTGCTCATTCGCCACTTCAAAACCTCAAATTTTGCAAACATGCTGCACCCTGTGATGCCTTTCACATCAAGCCAGCCAGAACTTGCAACCGGAAATGACGTGCATTTCCGAAGCTGCAACCACATCTACACAAACCTTGTAATAAGGTATTAGAAGAATCCTTCAAAAAACCTCACCTTGATGGTTCCTCCATAAACCATAATGCTGGGTCTATTCAACCGTCCCATAGCGATGACAGTACCTGGCATCTGTTGACAATGAGTTACATTCCGAACTTCAAACTTCATTGTAGGGAGTGATTTCTCTCATCTCATATAGGGAAGAATCGTGTAAGAGACCTGGACTCTGTAAAAACGAATGACTCTCGATAGCTCTTCCAGACCCAGATTCAAGGGCAAACCAACATCCAGACATAAGTATACACACAGTCCCACCAAGAAGAAAAACCGGAAAAAAAAGACTCAATTTCCATATGCAGGCACGTTCACCTCCCACTGAAATCACTTACATTTTTGTCACAACCCGGCAGTGAAATGTTGCCATCGTACCACTGGCCAGCCATCACGGTCTCGATGCTGTCGGCAATGAGATCTCGGGACTGCAGACTGTAGCACATGCCCTCGGTTCCCATGGAAATGGCATCGCTGACACCGACCGTGTTGAAGCGGAATCCCACCATTCCGGCTTCCCGCACGCCCTCTTTCACGGCCTCGGACAGTTTCAGCAGATGCATATTGCAGGTATTGCCCTCGTACCACACGGAGGAAATGCCGACCTGGGGCTTATCCATATCATCCTTGGTCAATCCGACTCCATACAAGATGGCCTGCGACGCGCCCTGCGACTTGGGCTGAGTGACTCTCGAGCTGAACTTGTTCAGAATCGTCTCGCCGCCCACGGGACTATCCACCGTCTGCGATGGTGCCTCGGGCGCCTGCACGGCGCAAATGCGCACGGCTCTGCTCCTCCCATTGCTCACCCTCGCCGTCTTCCTCTCCTCCTTGCGCAATGCGGCTCCAGCCAGCGATCTCCTCGCTGCTCCCTGCCCCAGCACCACAGGCGCACCCCCCACCACCGCACTGACAAACCCCATCTCGCCCTCGTCTCCCCCTCGCTTCGCCTCGCTCTTCGATTCTACGCCCCCAAATCCCAAAACCCAAAACCCACAAATCCTCGTCCTCCTTCTCCTTCTCCTCTGCCTCGCGATCGCTCCGGGAGAGAAGGGGGAACGGGGGAACGAGCAACCGGGCCGTCCGAATTCACATTCCAGATAGAAGGATGCGCTTTTGCACCCGGCACGTGCCGAATCTGCAGATCCCCAACGGAGATCCCCCGAGAGATGGACGACCTTAAGTAGCCGTATGACGGCACTTCCGGCCTGCCGCGTAGGACGAGGAAGGGGAGCGCCTCGTCCTCGTGGAGACCACAAGTTCGAATCCTGGCGAATATTCGGGGCCATCGCTTCTCGCTCTTGTGAGCTCCTCGAGGCGCGCGGCCCGTTGACATCTTCTCTTCTGATCTGGCTCTAGTCTGTTTATGCGTATAGTGAACGTAAAGTACACTTCTCTCGACTTGTTGTCTACTCATCTTCCACTTCCAGCACCTTCAAGTTAGATTTGCGTTCTTTGGTCTTCTATGCCACAGCATTTGAGGGGTGATGCCATTTGTCAACATGTTGTAGCATACTTGTGGAAAATCAATCTAGATTGGAACACCTCAATTTCACCTGTAAGCTATATACCAATAAATTGTTGCTTACATTAGAAATCAAGGAATTCATTTTTACGGAAGTAATTATTACATGTTTATTGATAAGAACGGAAGAGATTTGGAAACTTTATTCTATTCCAGATAACTTTTTAACATATTATCCGAATCAAACGCAAATAAATAATAAATTTTTACACTCTTCGGTAGATTTTATCTACTGATAGTTTGTACCAACAAAATTTAACTCCAACCATGTTTTAAATTGGAAACATATTTCGGATAAATGTATTATAAAGAGTTCGATACATTCTTATTTCTCATCTCGTCGCACTTGACTTTTTGAAAGTAGTTAACTTATTGAGTTTTATAAAAAGAATATTGTGTCATGCATTAGACATTTACTTTGCCATCGGCATATTTTTAATTTCCTTTGTGTGATATTTTATAAATTTAATATTAAAATTTTACATTCTAATAAACTAAAATTCATTTGTGTGTCTATGTGTGTATATAGTTATCTTGGATCTGCATAATCTGAAAAAAATCATGAGAAATTTATCAAGTATATTTTTCAGATTTTGATACGATTATTAATTTAATGAATTCATATTCAGAACATTAAATTCAAATATAAAAAATGAATAAGTAGAGTAAATTTTCATTGTATCAAAAAACATTTCCGTCAATTGGAGTCGTCAAAACGAATTTAGATTATTACAATTGCATGTCAAGAAAGATATATCTACAAGAATAAAATGAAAAATACTTATATTAAACACTATCTAATTGTTATTTGGATAATTTTTGTATGTCTATTTATATATTGCAAATGAAACTAGCTTATCATAACTCTTAGCAAAATTAAATTATAGATAAAATCTTATTCATGTAACCTTGATCAACTTCTGTCAAAATATGATTACAATAAGTTTAAACACGACTAAAATTTCTAAAATATTACAAGAAAATGTATTAAATTGTAATATAAAATATGACATCAAGTTTATATTCATTTTAGTTGATAAAATAAACATAAAATGTTATAGTTTGAATTTCGGACTTTTTAAGTAGAAGCAACGTTGTTCATAAAATCAATGTGTGAAAATATCAAAGATATAGAAAATCTGTTTGATATTAGATTAATTTCTTTCAAGTAGATTATCATTCTATAAATGGTAATGCATTCCTAAAATATAAATTCAGAAAAAAAACACCAATTAAAAAAAATCAGATCTTTTAAATAATAATAATTTGTATAACATAAAATCAATCTAATAACATGTGTGCTTCTAACTATTGATTGATGTGTCAAATGATGTGATATTTAGAATAAATAAAAAAATTTATTATATTTTTGAAAAGATAATAATTTTCAAAAGATTTTGTTCTACTTTGCTAATTAGATGTTTATATAAATTTTAAATGATTTAAAATACATTTTCAAACCAAAACATTATCTTTTGATTTAAGCCTATAAAAAGTTTATGTACCAGATTATAATTTTAAATATTTTCAATAAATGTTTTTGAAATTCTTTTATTAATACAAATAAGAAAATTTTACATTTTATAAATAAATAATCATTCAAAAAATAATTTAGTAATATGCGCTTATAAATCAAAATAAAATAAAATTTGAAAGAAATAATAATGTCAAAATATTTCTTAAAGAATTTGAAAAAAAAACCTTAAAAAAAATTTTGCAACAAAAATTTGGTGTTTGAAAAAAATTTATAAGTAAAGATGTGGACTAAAATTTTATTTATTATCACAAATTTTGTTTTTCTATAGAATTTTTAAAAATAAATACAATAAAATACATATTTTAATAGAAAATATTTGTAATAATTTTTATAAAATATCATATTTGACATACATCAAATTATTTTACACATAAATATTTTTGTATTATGTCACTGGTAGTAGCTATTGGGATTCACTGCAACGTAATAAGATTTCTAAGAGCTTCACTCTTATAACTGGTCTCTTTTTGGTATAAATATTTCATACTTTTCTTGAGTTAATGCTGGAACAGCGCTCAGATAATATGGTAAGAATAATCTATTTATGTATCAATGGATGTGTAATGTGGAAAGAAAAAGTCATAACATAACACATTATGTTATAATTTATGTATATAATAAAAATTTATAAGTTTAAACAGTGTGAGAAAATTTTTTACACACAAATAAATTGATTTATATTTTTCTGTTTATAATTTATAATTTTAAATATATTTTTAGAAATAAAAATTGAAGAAAACTCAATTATAAATTTTTAAAAAAATCATTTAATATAAAATATTTTTCATTTTTAACATTTTAATTTTAATTTTTTGTAAATACAAAATATAAGCAAAAATCATATGAATCTTTTAAAAAAATATGACGATCTTAAAAAAATTCAAAAGAAAAAGAAAAAACCTCAATTAAAATTATATTTCTTATTTTAATATCTAATACTTAATTAGAAATAATAAAATAAAAATTGCAATTTTAAATTTTTTTACAATTTAAAAATATCAATAATGAAAAAAACACACTGTAATCTAATTTGATTATGGTATAATATCTACTTGTGGAATCAAGTGCATCATATATCTCTTGATGATTGATATTATAAAATCACGAATTGGATTTTATTCATGAAGTTGGTGAAATTATTCGAACCAAATATCCATCAATATCATATGTCATTTGAAGCTTCAGGTGGTACATCTCCACTACGGTATTGAATCAAGCAAAAACTTGTTTTGATCACCGTATCATCTTCTTATTCAACTTGTGTAAAGTACACACCACAATATCAATGTGAATAAAAACATTACTACACTGTTGATAGTTCTAATGCATTCACCATGGTACAACAACAATTAATAATACCCACACAAGTGAAACTATGCATGTCATCTTCAAATTATTTGTTTTAACATTGTAAATATATGTAGTCTTTTCATAACATATGCATGTCTACGAATAAACATGTTTGGTTTCCACTGGTGAATATAACATTGTGAACAACTTTTGTACGTTTAAGAATGACAACTGAGCTCATGTTTCCCTGGTGATTGGAGATGGTGGTAATGTTGAAGTACTCACAGAAACTTCTGCAATACACAATCCACTTATTATACTTTTGAGATGCTAGTTTTTGACACAATTTACTAGAGATTTAAATTCAAACTCACACATATTTCATGTGGGATTGAAACAGAATTGACTTACTTCACGTATCATATGGTCATTGCAGCAAATTAATACATGTATAATAGAATAGAACAATTAAAACCGTCACATACATTGTAATATCAATTGTTAATTTGAAATCATGACAACATTAAATACATGTAATTTTGATGCAAAAGGTACAAAATTTTATTAAAAAAAAGTAAAAAATTACATCCATTATTTTTCATCATATTATATTTTTTTTGAAATAAAAATAATTTTAAAAATTATAATTATTTTAAAAATTGTAATTAAATATAATATTAATAATTTTTTGGTGAAAACTGCAGATGCACTGCAGGAGATTAAATTTTGCTGCGCAGAGCGCAAAAAGATGAGATACAAAGAGGAACAAGTCTAAATATTATAATTCTTTAGAAACTAATTATTTTTGTCCAGGTGAAGTGGAGTGTGTCTATCATTCGTGTGGAAGAAGATGATTCTGCCCAGGAAGCAAACAAGTAATGGACCACTTTCTAGAAAGACGAGGAACACAAAGTGCAGCAGAAGAAAGGTCGAGCGCAGGGGCTCCAAATTTGAAAGTACAGTGGAGTTGTGGTCATGATACTACTCGGCTATAGAGCAGTCTAATTTAGTCTCCACTAATCATGGACAACACTTGTCTCTACACTCATGATAATCTGCAGTTTTATTCACCACTTTGCCAGTGGATGGCATCCTCATGCAATCGCTCATAAAATTTTATTAATATACTAATAAGATTTTATTTTTTTATTTATCTATTATAATAATTTTTATGATTTTATCTTTATTCATTAAAGATAATTTTTTATTTATTAAATAAAATTGCATTATTATAAACACATGATTTTTTAATTTATTAAAATATATATTCATATACATATATACATCAAATTAATTTTCTTGGTTTTCATATTTATTCATTGAAAATAATTTTCTTTGATTTTCTATCTGTTACAAATAATTATAAAGTTTTTATATTTATATATTAAAAAAATAATTTTTATCTTTATTTATATTAGTATATTATTATTTATTTAAAAATTTTATTTTATTTTAATATAATTTTATATATTATATTTTTATTACATACATTTTTATTTAATTTTAAATAATAAAATCTAATTTATCATAATATTTTTGTAGAAATAGATGCCAATAGATAGCTCTTAAACTGACCGTTAAGTCTTTACAAGTGACAACTTTGTCTTCACAACGAACAAGTTCTTACTTTGAGATCAACTAGTAACATTTTCATGTACTCTTCTCCAAACAATCACCTGTATACGAGCATGTTTGACTAGTGTTTGATATTAACTCAGTAGTGCATACACTTAATTTGTGAAAATATATTTATTACCTTTAAAGTTTATATGACTTGTATTTTTTT